AAAAAAAAAAAAAAAAAAGAAAGCATTGGTATCACATATTTTGTTACTTAGTATTAGTATTTTACTCAGAATTCTCATGCCTGAATTAAGACCAAGGCTGTCTTGTAAAATAAAATTTGTTGTGGAACAATTTATACACCTCCTTTGAGGTAGGAGGTGGGACTCAACTCTGGAGGTGGGGCTCAAACATTGGACCAAATTGAGGACTAACTAAAACAGGGAGGAGGCCGAAGCAACTTTTTTTTTTTTTTTTTTTTTGAGAAGGAGTCTTACTCTGTTACCCAGGCTGGAGTGCAGTGATATGATCTCGGCTCACTGCAACCTCCACCTTCGGGGTTCAAGCGATTCTCCTGCTGGTCGAACTCCTGACTCAGGTGATCTGCGAACCTCGGCCTCCCAAAGCGCTGGGATTACAGGTGTGGGCCACCACGCCCAGCCCGAAACAACTTTCTATGACACGCCTACTAGTGTGCCATGTCAGTCTGCCATTGCCATGGCAACACCCAGGAGTTACTTCCCCTTTCCATGGCAGTGACCCCACGACCCGGAATTTACTACCCCTTCCCTAGATATTTCTGCATAATCTGCCCCTTAATTTCTATGTAGTTAAAAATAGGTCTAGGCCAGGCGCAGTGGCTCATGCCTGTAATCCCAGCACTTTGGGAGGCCAAGGCAGGTAGATCACCCGAGGTCAGGAGTTTGAGATCAGCCTGGCCAACATGGTGAAACCCCGTCTCTACCGAAAATACAAAAATTAGCCGGGCGTGGTGGCAGGTGCCTGTAATCCCAGCTGCTTGGGAGGCTGAGGCAGGAGAATCACTTTAACCCCGGAGGCAGAGGATGCAGTGAGCTCAGATCACGCCATTGCAGCCTGGGCCACAGAGCAAGACTTTGTCTAAAAAGAAATGTATAACTATAACTACAGAACTGCCCTGAGCAGTTAGTCTCAGCACACGGCCTATGGGGTATCCCTGCTGTGCAGGAGTAGTCACAGAGCTGTAACACTGCTGCTTCAATAAAGCTGTTTTCAACCCAGCGTGGTGGCTCACACCTATAATCCCAGAACTTGGGGAGGCCCAGGTGGGTGGATCCATGAAGTCAGGAGTTCGAGACCAGCCCGGCCAACATGGTGAATCCCCATCCCTACTAAAATTACAAAAATTAGCCGGGTGTGGTGGTGCATACCTATAGTCCCAGCTACTTGGGAGGCTGAGGCAGGAGAATCGCTGGAACCTGTAAGGCGGAGGTTGCAGTGAACCCAGATCATACCACTGCAGTCCAGCCTAGGCGACAGAGCGAGACTCCCTCTCAAAAAAAAAAGGAGGCCGGGTGCGGTGGCTCACCCCTATAATCCCAGCAATTTGGGAGGTCGAAGTGGGCAGATCACAAGGTCAAGAGATCGAGACCATCCTGGCTAACACAGTGAAATCCCGTCTCTACTAAAAATACAAAAAATTAACCGGGAGTGGTTGCGGGTGCCTGTAGTCCCAGCTACTTGGGAGGTTGAGGCAGGAGAATGGCGTGAACCCAGGAGGCGGAGCTTGCAGTGAGCCAGCCGAGATCACACCACTGCACTCCAGCCTGGGCGACAGAGCGAGATGCCATCAAAGAAAGAAAGAAAGAAAGAAAGAAAGAAAGAAAGAAAGAGAGAAAGAGAGAGAGAGAGAAGGAAGGAAGGAAGGAAGGAAGGAAGGAAGGAAGGAA